CGTCGGGGCGGCACCTGGGTGAGGAGCCGGGCGGCGGTAGGGCGGGCAGCGCGGCACCGGGCTGCTGGTGTTCCAGACCCTCATGTAACGCGCTGCGGCGCAGGAGGCTGTGAAACGCTTTTCCTCCCGGAGTTTCCACACAGCTGGATGTTTTAAGCGATCATAAAGGGTTCCTTCAAGTTCCTGTCTACCTATGGTCAATATAATTGTTTTAAAAACAATGTTACCTGCTTGAGCTTTGCTCTTTTGATAGCACGCAACACAAGTTTCAGTTCAGAATAGCTGTAACAATCACACACAGCAAGTCGCAGACCAGCAACCTGGCTGTTTTTACTGTAAATGTTCCCTTTCTCTATGTCCGATCATAACCAAATTTGTAACTAGCCTTACATTTAGGAAAAAAACCCACACCCCTCTACCACAACCTTTGCTGTTACACCCAAGGAAGGTGCCCTCAGCAGAACCCACACACACAAGCGGCTGTATTACAGACTGACTTCAGCTGCACCTCTAATATCTCAACAAACCAGCTTTCCCTGAAACCTGCAATTTCTTCTGGGGAAAAAAAAAAAACCAACTTGTTTCAAGTTGACAATTAAGGAAATTTAAGCCTTAGGGCTGCACAGACGACGGGTTCCATTCAAACCGGCATCGCCTCTCGCTACACTACGACAAACATCAGGCATTTCCATCCAGCACAGCTCAGCAGACTTGGTACTGCACAATGTTACCTGCAGCGATGGTTCCTGACCCAATTGCTACAACAGCAAATCTTTTGTTACTCTTGCAGGGCAGAAAGATCTAGAGATCCCCCGGCCATGCAGATTACTCTTAATCCTTGTTTTCAAAAAAACCAAAAAAAACCAACAAAAAAAAAAGAACAGGCTGATTTTCAGGGGTATTCCAGAGAGATTTCATGCAAGATCAATCTTTCAGATAACTGCTTCGCATTAGTGGTGTCTACGTAGGGTGTGCTTTCCGGGCGTAATGGGTAAAGTAAGAACTCAAAGATCTCGCAAAGGGCGCAGAAGAAGCAAGCCTTTATCCTTGCAGACCGTACAGAATCAAGTACTGAAAGAACCGTTTACATGGAAGAGTAAAAGCACACAATCTGCCAAGTGCAGCATCGTTTCCATCACAGGAAGGATGCCTTTCCCAGTACCGTGGATTACTCCAGTTCCCCTGGCCACTGGGCTTACAGGATTCTATTGCTGGAAAAATTATCATTTAAAAACTAGTATCCAGTGTCTCAGTCAGGAAAACACTTCCGATGACACGGATGAGTAGCGGAAGACAGCCTGAAGCAAAAGCTGCTCAGACCTACCATATCCGATACGGCTGTAACACTTATTAGCCAAGAGCGGCTCGTTTTTACAGTAACCTGCTCCGAGAATGGCTCTCGCCTACAAGAAGCCTATTTGCTGCATTCTTCAGTTCAGAGCTTCTCCTTTCCAGCAGCCTCCAAGATCCCTTCCCTTTATCTGTCCCCGCCCTTCTAAATATGGTGGTCAAACATGCACCCAGCTGGATCCCTTGTGCTCACTGACACTTGATCCTCTAAACGGGACAGTCTCTGTGTCTGCACATCAGTCCATGAGGTGTGAACCAGTCCATTCAACTCTTAAAAAAAATAAATGCCATCCCTTCTGAAGTTTTTTTTACCATGCAAGTACTTCGGGAAGGCAGCTGCAGCTGGCATCAGACTGCAACTTCAGCTTTTTGAATGACTTCTTCCATGCGCTGGTACCAAGGCTGAATCTTGGTGTGAACCATCATGTCGTCAAAGGCTTCCAGCCCCTCCATGACTCGGAGGACCCCATACACCGCCTGTGCCAGAGGATAAAGAATAGAACAACACTGAAAGAGTCAGCAATGGAGAATGGCTTAGGGTACAGTAAGTGTCTCAGTAGCCTAGCCAGTAAGGATCTTTCCCCGTCCTGCCATCTACTCCACCACTCTGATTAGCAACGAAGACTGAATGGCAGGAAGACAGGTAAGAATGTTTTCCCATGAGGTAACAGTACGAAAAGATCAGGATCTACGTGCAGTTATGGGGCAAAAGTTAATCTCATCTCTGCATCAAGCCCTGGTGTGAAATGCTTCACTTGCATTCCCAGGAGAACTGCTAGTGCAGGGGATGAATCCTGCTCCGCTCTGCACTGCTGCCTCCAAAGGAAACCCCAGCAGCACTGAATGTAATAGAACCTGTGCAGGTGTGAGGCTTTATTCACCAGCATTCAGGAGCCAGAGCAGTGTCCTGGCTTATAATCTGCTTTTGTCATGCTTCCACATGATCTGTAACATCCACCTGCAGAAGGGATGTGCAGCTTCCATCTTAGGGAACATTCTCTGGAGGAAAATACCAAACACAGTCCTGTGTGACAAATTCTAAGTCCCCTTCACATGGGAATTGTATTATTGCACAAAAGACATCAACAACGTATCTCATGTAACTAGCCTTCTCTGCCTATATTGGTATTAACCATTTCACACAGATGAGCAACTGGGTAATCTGCAATACACCTAACAATAAATGCAAGAATTAACCCCTTACCAAGTCAGCAAGGTTCGGCTGGGTTCCACCCATGAACAGTCGATGTTTACCAACAGCTTTTACCCACTCATTAACTGCTTCATACAAGTCTTCTCGGACATTATCTTGAAGGTGATGTCTGGATAAACAGAAGAAATAGTTTGAAGACACCAATTTGTCTCTTTAACCTTGTATCATTTCTAATCTTATACACTGGTCTTTGTCTGGGAATTAGGAAGGTATTTGAGAGCGAAGGGGGCAGTTACTGATCAAAGAGTAGATGACTAGAGGTCAGTACCTCCAGTTAAAGAAGTACAGCTGTTACACCGGATTAAATGATTTGGTTTAAAACACTGAGGTTCTCCCCTTTGACATCTGGGGTTCACAGCTAAGGAGTTAAGGAGCTATTCCTCTTGTGCATGGTGCTCAGCAGTACCAACCTCTTTTTCAGCCTCTTGCTAATGAAGAACATTGCAACAGCCCCCATGTACTTGGCAAAGAAACCTTCCACAGTGCCAAACTTTCCCTCGCGGACAATGTAATCAAAAGATGCCAAGGCTTCTCTGGGGGTACGGTAAACATTGGGGGAGATGAGGTGAACAAGCCAATCGTCTGCCCATTTTCTCCATTTCATTTCTTCCCTGCAAGCATTCAAAAGAAAGAAACTTTTCAGTGAATGAGGCGCAGATTGCAGGGCTACAGGAGGCAGGCAGGATCACTGTGGCATTAGTCAGAGGTTCTACCAAGGACAAATGTGTGAAAAACTCCTGCCCAGCCTTGTGCTCTGGTGACCTCTCTGAAATGCATTCAGGATCATTATCTTTGGCAAGGCTCCTCCAATCTCAAACTAAAATTAAGACTAAGATAGAGCTCTATCTTATCCTCCCAATATGAGAACTAAAGCAGAAAGGGAAGCCAGCGCTCCATACCACTCCCCTGCAACATAAAGGAAAGGCCAAGAAGGAAACTGGAGGCAGCTGAAGGCTAGCGTGACCATAATGGTGGTAACTAGGCTATCTAACAGCATTGTTTCAAGTTATGTAAGAAACACAGCAAAACCACTCTAACTGCTGAGGTTTTAAACACTAAGGGGAGTGTGACAGGATTTGTCAGCGCCAGCAGCATTTTATATCTATACCACCCCTGAGTACATCTGGAAGAGGCTGCGACCCCACCTGAAAAGCCCAGAGACTTAAGAGCACTTACACTCTCACTTCTTTGACAGGATAGACTCGCTTTGTCTCCTTCTCATCCAGCATAAGCCAGTATTTATTCCCATACTCAAATACCTCCTTGCCTTGCTCAGTCACAGTTTTCATAGGAGGATAAAAGGACACAATCTCTTCTAAGCTATTCCTCCTGTGGACAGAAACACAATCAGCACCCAATCTGGTTGTACAATGAGCAAGATCAAAGGACGGATTCAGAGATACACACTTTAAAATGTATTATTCTAAAAATACGTGCACAGTGTTCCAAATTCTATTTGAAATAAATTTTGAACAGAGACCGGAACAGCTACTTGCAAATAACTATTATTAGTGTACATATCTTTCTGTGTGTCAGAACAGAAATTTTTGCAGGCATAAAACTAACTACCACTCTCAAGCACTTTAGAGCATGGGCCTAAAGGACAGGGTACAGGCACAGCAGGTTCAGTTCATTCTAGATGTTATAACTGGCTAATTGTAAGCTTAGTTCCAAGACTAATACCAATCCACGTTTAAGAAGGTTTTGTGCAAAGAGAATCTCATAAGTGAAAAAGAGTAGTTCTGAAAGGTAAAAGCTTTGCTTCACTGCATACACATCAGAACATACAGAGGTGCCATCCACATTATCCCAGCTAGGCTTGGATCAGCTAGCCCAAACACCCAGAGCTTCAGAGACCAAGATCAGCAAGATACTTATGACTGACTCCAAGAGACCCTTCTCAATCTCTAATTTGCTAGGGCCATTCGCATTCAACTCTTCTCCCATCATCCTGCTTTTCTTACTTGGAAATGAGATAGGTCTTTATTGCACTGATGATCACCGAAGAGTCATTCAATTGCTGGAAAACAGAATTAAAAGAAACTTTTAAAAGAAGTTGGTGAAATTGGAAAGGAAATTCTTCAAAACCTTTTCCCCTGCATGCTGAGGCTCCAACTTAGTACTGCAGTTCCTTTTCCTCCTGGGCATTTCCACAGGAGTCCCTGCACATCTGAAGACAGCCCTACATTCAGATCTCTTCTGTGAGCGTTTCAGAGCATCACTTCAAATTTGCCTTTAATTCTCACAACAGAGGACCTGAGGGCCAGGTACACATGCAATACTAGTGGGTTTTGGATTCAGGCTCTTGGCAGCGATGGAGAAAAGCAACACTAGCATAAATATAAGCCAAGCTGAATCTTCAGTGTTCCTGAGATCTCATCCTTTTCTCACAAAATATAAGCAGTTCCCATTACCGCTGGTACAAATTATATGACCTGTGTAAGGGCTGACAGAAGCTAGACAATCACTGGATTATAGAGTCACTACATAAACAACATGCCTTGCAAGAAAGGCCAACAAAAAACTCTAATAAGGCCAAGGCATTGGCAGCCATGAAGCAAGAAACAAATCTCAGGCTCTTGAGAGAATAAAAGATGATTTAAACATTATGCTGCATGTGATAAACCACAGAGACATGACAAAGACAGCCTCCAAACCACTGCTTGTGGGAAAATGAAGCTTTCAACACAGTAAGACTTACCAGAGGGCTTCCAGCATTGGCTAGCAGGATAGGCACCTTTCTGTAAGAAGAGAATTTGATCTCTTTCCTCATTATTGGGTTCACTTCCACAATTTCATAGGGCAGTCCATGATAATCAAGAAAAGCTCGGACTTTGCTGCAGAAAGGACACGTTTTATACTGGTAGAGAGTGAGCTGCAGGCTCCCTGCAGGCAGCTGGGAAAGGAAGAGACCAGAAGCTTCCATTTTCCACTAAAAATATAAATATTACCTTCCTTCCACCCTTATTTTTGTCATGAAGTCACAGTCATTGACATTTGGTTTCAACACCTGATCACCAAAATATCTTGGCTAACAAATGCTTTCTTCAAATGGCATCACAAATATTCACCTTCTATCGGAACCAAATACCTGCTTTTCTAAACATCTATGTAATCTGCTGGAAATTCCTACTCACAGACAGAAAAAAAGAAATCCAGACAGTTTACCCCTCTACACAAATTCTAAAGAAAAACACAACCACATTTTAATCATCTTTAAATGGAAACCAAAACAGCCTTTTCAATTATTTTTTTACTCCAAAACAAACCCTCTGTTGAGGCCAGAGAGCGAGGAGATCAGAAAGAGAGTTTGCTGTTGATTTTAGGCACGTATCTGCCCAAATTCATATTCCTGGGATTAACCAACCTGTGCACAACTGAGAAAAGACACAGAGAACTTGGGGTAGCACAAACAGTGAGGCATAAGGTGAGAGATGCTTCCCAACGCTGCTATACTTCAGCGATCTCACAGACCATGCCAGCCATTAGTCATATATTGTAAAACAAGTTAAGTCATCTCACTTTGCTTCTCATTTGCAATTTATTGGGTTACACAACCCTCTATGGGTGCCGGGAAAAAGCAACAATGCTAACAGACAATGCTGCTTCACATCTCCAGCAAGCTCTTGCTTTCTGACAGGCATTCCTCACAGCTCCTCAAGGAGAACGCGGCCGGGGCCTCCTTTACACAATTTTAAGCGGTTTCCTCACCGAAACCGGAGCAAAAGCAGCCCCTTGGTCCGCAGAGCGGGAAAAAACCGCGCTCTCCCCGAAGCTCTTGTGCCAGGGGCTCGCCCCTGCGGCCGGGCCCGGGCCTCGCCAGAGCTCGGAGGCGAGGGAAGGGAAGGAGCCCGGGGAAGCACACGGGGACGGAGGCGGCAA